TCGCATTTAGGTTGGAGGAGGCCATCGCATTTAGGTTGGAGGCGGCCATGGCATTTAGGTAGGTTGGAGGCCATCGCGATTAGGTAGGTTGGAGGCCATCGCGATTGGGTAGGTTGGAGGCCATCGCGATTGGGTTGGAGGAGGCCATCGCGATTGGGTTGGAGGTAGTTCTTTAATTCCGATTGGGGGCGGGGTGCAGTTCAGTATCAGCCTCAATGAATTTGCAGTGAACACTTTCAATGAAAGCAGGAACAGAGCACCATCCCTTCGAAACCTCATTCTTGAGCAGCACGGGCAGTGTCGGGGCATTCATTTGCCCATCACTCACAGACTCGACTCAAAGACCTGAACGTCGCGACGAAGGTCACGACCGTTTCGTGAGGAAGTGACGAAGGTCGGCGACGGCCGCTTCACCGTGAAGTGGGATGACCCAGATGGTGGTCCAGAGGAATCAGAAGTCGATGCCAAGGACAGGGTGAGAGTATGATGACACACCTTGGTTACACTGACTCACTAACATGGAAGTTGAAGTGGAAAACCCTTTGTGTCTAGAGGAAAGTAGTCTTCCAAAATATTTTCCAGTGTACCTTTTGATGCACTTGGATTCAATCGCAAGATCATAGGATTCAGCTCGAATTCTGAGCAGGATGTTGCAGTTCTTAATGGTCTGAGATTTGGAGCCATGAATCTTATCTCCTCAGGAGATGAAGTATCCGCCAATCCCTTATGGGGACATTGAGATTGGCAAGATGCTTGATGCAGACATCAAACAATCACTGAAATGCCGGAAGGTCTAGAGGTCTAAGAGTCTAGGGTCTAGACTAACAAAGCACCATCAGCTTCATGAAATGTGGGTCGACACCTCCGAAGTTTGGCCTCCAATTGCTCTTGCAGTTTGTGGGACCTGGCGCTGGTGTTGTTTTTCTTTTTTTGGGAGGGCACCACGGACACAGCACCAGGGTACCTGTGGGTACCTGTGGGTAGCTGTGGCGCTGTTTTTGGTGCACCAAGCAGTACCTGGTGCCACCACGACGGACACTGAGGAAGTACGACGGCACAGTGCGGAGCGTCTTGGACTTTGGCGCCTTTGTCGACATCGGCGCGGAGAGCGAGGGGCTGTTGCACATCTCACGCATCTCGGGGGAGCGCGTGGAGAACATCTACGACGTGCTGTCAGAGGGGCAGAAGGCTGTTGGACTGTTGGGTGGGGTTTACCGGGACCCCGAATAGGCCCGTTAGGCAATGTTAGGCAACAATCTCTGGCCGCTCTTGCCCAACTTCGTTTGGCTGAAGTTTCCTGTCTGTTCTGTGTTTGTTCGGGGTGGTGTATGAGAGAGTCGAGCATGCCAGGTGGAGGTGTGGGTCTCTGGCAAAAGGGAGGACGAGGAGAAGTTTGGGCTCACCATGGTGGAGGGCAAGATGGACAGTGCACCCAGAGCCTTGGCGACGTCTCGTCGCACGGTGCAGGGTGCAAGGGTCGGTGTGGCCTGTCCGGGGTTTCTAAGCGAGAGTGACTTCAACAGAAACAGCAGTGATGTTTGTGGCTGAGTTATTTGGTATGCGTTTGCTTGCAAGGAGCCCGAAATGCCCCACCATTTCACGCGCGCACCATCCACACCGCTAGTGACTAAATTAAATGAACCCGTTGCCCCCTCTTAAAAGGGTGCTTTGGGCTCCAATAGCTAGGTCTCCTTGTTCGTTCGTTTCAGTCGATCCACGATCTCAGGAGCTCCTGCTGATTTGACGCCTTTTGCAGATTTACCTTCAGATGAGTGGTGTCTGGTTGAAGTGGTGAACTCTAGTCTACTAGTTACCTCTTTTCATCTTGCCGTTAGAAATATGCTGAACTCGAGGTAGTGTGAGCAACAGAGAGCCAGAGAGAGAGAGAGAGAGTGAGTGAGTGAGTGAGTGAGGGAGCGAGAGAGTGAGTGAGGGAGCGAGGGAGGGAGTGAGTGAGTGAGTGAGTGAGTGTATGAAAGAGTGGGGAGCCGGGATGTGCACAAACCATCCAGCCGCCCATCGGGTCACAGAAAGGAACTGTGTTGGTACCACAGTGGCAGCGTGGGCTCCAGAAAGAGTCACTGTTCGGACTGTGTGTCACCCCCTCAGGTATAACGGCAAGGTGGCGCGAACTGCTCCCTTTGGCGCCTTTGTGACCGTGACCTTGGACAGCGGGGCGCAGGCCGATGGCTTGGTACATGTCTCGAAGATCAAGGACACCTGCCTTATGCGAGGTTTGGAGTCACGCGAACAGATCGTAGTTTTGAGTCATTGGACTTTTTGCTTTCAGATTGAATTCAAGAGCGCAACAAGACGGGCTCAGATTGAATTCAAGAGAACGACAGGGTACACCCATGCGCGAATGTGGGGGTGAACGTCGGCAACAGCAGAAGCGGCAGAAACGGTGTGATCACCCTCTTGCCTCGACGATTCTGTTCATGTCTGGAGGGTAAGCTGCCAAGGTCTACAACCAACTTTGGCATACTAATCAGATTTTGCCATTTTGACACATGTGAGACAGTTTTGCTACCTCAAGTACATCTCAAGTACTTTCGACATTGTTCTGTTTGTTTCTTTTGACATTGCATCAGTGAAGTGACCCTTGTTGCCGTGGTGATTTGCCGGCCTTGCTGTGGTGAGTCTCCACACTCCACTCAGATGTACATTCCAACTTGCTTTTCACCCACTGAAGAAACAGCCTTGGCAGGACGGCTTTGTGGACAATGTCGACGATGAGGTGTCCATCGGACAAGAATCTGGGACAAGAATCTGTGTGCATCGCGGAGTAATGTTTTTTGGAGTTCTTGGTCCATGTCAAGATATCATCGTTTGACTAATGCTCATCGGCTGAGGGGCCAGCACCCTCCTCACCTGTCTAAGCACGTTGCGCGAGCTGCGGCAAGCGACCGCCCCTCTGGGTTCGGGTGAAACCACCCGGTGAATGCACACGGCTGTGCACGCTTTGCCAATCTTTCTTGGGGGCCCTTAACATCCTCAACCGTCGTGAAACGTTGTTTAGGTGCATTCAATAAAGACAACACATGGAAAGACCGTCCTGTGATGCCTTGTGGGGGGTATTCTTTACTTCGCTTCTTGGTGTTTTGCGGGGGCCCACATCCTTCGTTCTGACACTCAGCCCAGATTCCGCCCTCCTCGGATGAGCCGGTGGGTTTGTTCGTGCCTTGAGGATGTGAAGGTTCGTATTGAAGACGTGGACCTGGACAGCAACCGAATGCGCCTCTCAATGCGAGAAGGAGGCTTTGGTGGTGGTCCCAGAGCACCAGTAGACCTGACTCCTTTTGAGAATCTTAGCTGTTCATTCATTGGCGTCATTCAGGACAAGGCATTTGGTTGGCGCAACCATCATGTGGAGACGGGCATGAGTTTGATTCAGGACTTATACGGGCCCTACCTCTGGTCAGACAACTGGGCGGCTCTTAAATTTCAAAAGATATATTGAGGCTATTAGGTTGGAGGCCATCTCTAGAAGGTTGGAGGCCATCTCTATTAGGTTGGAGGCATAGCGCTCTTTGTTACTCAATTCGCACAGTCATTGGCGAAGGCAACGCCCGGTAACACGTGGAACGTGCCGCGGAACGTGCAGAAGATTTCATGTGCATCCTGTGGCCTTTGCACTCCTGGTGAATTCCCAGATCCAAAAATATTAAACCAAGAAGAGTCTCAGAAGTCCATGCTGAACGAAAAAGTTGTCCCCAAGTGGATGGCTATAGAGCTTCATGGATAGTCCGTTCGCATGAAGCTTGCACTACCCAGATGTGTCGTTCACAGGCAGCCGCTTCGCGGGGCAGGGTACGGACGGAGGTGCCGTACAGGATTTGAGAGAACTGCTGGGTGCTTGGGGTGTTCATCGGACTTTCTTCAGGAACCTTTGACAAGATGCGACCGCGACCCAACCGTCTGACGCGGTCGGACCGATGCTTCTGGGAGCTCGGACCCACGTTCTTCATGTTTACACCCGGAAGGGGCCTACATGGAAGCTGGAAATGGACCTTTGGAAGGGCGACTGGTTTTCAGGTTCCATGTGGACCTCTTCCAGGGTGTATTTCCCCCTTCTTAGGTCCTTTCTCCCATCCCCACCCCACCCCCCCAAAAGGCACAGAACAAGTACGTCGCGGACCAGTGAAAACGACCACGATAACGACCCAGAAGAAGGAACAAAAGGCCTCAGTTAGGCCTTGTCTTAGTTCTTCCAACATCTCCCTAGACCGTCTAAGGAGCATTTCTCCAGACAACTGGCTGAAAGGCAAAGTCGCCCGGTTGGCTCCCTTCGGTGCCTTTGTGACTGTCACCACACCTGACGGAGATGCCACCGCCGACGGCTTCTTGGACCAGAAGCTCACGGTGGGTCGTCTGGTGATGAGTCACTGTCCAGGTACCCCCCCAGCTCGTGGAAAGGCCTTTTGGGCAGGATCGCAGCGTTGGTGGTGTTTCTGTCAAAGCAGCATGCTTCTGGGTTTATAAAAATGCCAGAACTTTAGCTCAGGTCATCCTTGAGTAGATTGAGTATGGCACGGTCCGAGAACAAATTGGAAAACGGCCGGTTTTTCATTGTCACTACCGACTTGAGGGTGACAAGAAATGTAGCTGGAAGCTTGCAGGGGCGCTCCACATTTGAAGAACAAAGGGGGAGACCCCCTTCTCTTTCAACCTGTTCCCTGCCCAAGGAGATGATGCCGTAAAGACTCATGATACATCAGTTTGTGACCCAACCCTTTTCCCAATCTGAGACTGGCTGCACCATGGTGCACCAAACACCATCTGAAATGGACCCGAGATCTCCGCATTTCACACGTGGAGCTCAGGCTTGGTCCACATCACTCAGATCAGGGACGGTTTTGTGGAAAGCGTGGAGGATGAGTTGCAGGTTTGGCTGGGAAAGCGTGCCTTCTTTTCTTAAAGGCAATGGTGTTCACATCAACCTGCTCCGGCTTCAAAAAAATGACTTCGCCAACCCTGTCGCAGGTGGGTCAAGAGGTGGAAGTTCGGGTGGAATCCGCCAACAACGAAGATGGAAAGATGAGTTTGTCGATGAAGCAGCCCTTTTAGGCGGCGAAGTGAAGTTCTGTACAGTAGTTTTCTGGGCGGATGGCACACAAGCCGGAGACCAGTTTGGATGCAATCATGTCAGCCACTTTCTTTTGATCACGAGTAGGTGTAGGTGGCATATAATGTCATATTGATGTTCTTGGATTTTGTGCCATCGAGTTCTTGAAGTCACTGTAGACTTCAGCAAGCCGCTGCATGAACGGCCTCGCAGAGTAACGGCGTGGCGGAACGCCGTTGGAACGCGGGTGATGGGCCAATGGGCTCAGGTTGGAACGCCGGTTCGACTTCCTCAGGGGATCCAGTCGGAGCTTGCGGTCGCGCAGGGTCATGAGGGATGAGGGCAAGACAGGGTGCAAGACAGGTGGCACTGAGGGATTCCGCTCGTTGAAAAGGAGGCATCGATGCTAGGCTTCATCGCAGTTGTGCTCAACAGCCAGTAGAGGTTTCGACAAAGGAGTGGTCAACAAATCAACAAAATAGTGTCCGAGCCTCGAGTTCACTTTTGAGCACCACTGTGTGGGGGTACATTTTACATCTCTGACTCCTGCCCCCCAAAAAAGCTGCCCTGGTTGGGTCTGCGTGGGAAGTGCAATCTCTTAGGACGGATTCACAAGAAAAGGTGGATTCTTGTGAAATTAGATGAAACCAGCTCGGATTTCTGGGAAGGGTCTTCGAGACCAAGATTGAGCCATTGGGCTCAGCTTGGACGTGCAGCATCATCCAACAATTATGAACATTATGTTCTGCACCTGCTGTTGGAACATGACCTCAAAGCACGTCCACATACCTCCATCAAGTATGGGCTTGCCACCGCTTCCAGCAGTGTGCTTCCCATTCCGAAACATCATATAAGTCGGAATGCAAGACACAGTCCTTCACACCAAACCTATAGCACAGGTTGAATGTGCTAAAGTCAAACTGTACCAGGTTGAACGTGCACTGGTTAGCCGTCGAACAGGCTAAAGTCCTACGCCGGTCGATGCCGGTTGACCAAGGTCAGTGTAGAGCCGAGGGCTTATGTAGTGAAACGGACCAACAGATCATTATGACAAACACAAGCAACACCGAGCAATAATATTAATTACGATGTTATTTCAAGTAACTAAGAATGACAAACTTGAATTCTATATTCTATATATTTACTACACTTGTATTTTTTCTATCTCCACCAGCCACCAGCCCTTTGAACCGCATTCCTCACCCATGGTGGACAGATGAGGGCCCTGGGCGACTTGGTGGAGGGACGGGTCATCCAGATCTCACAGGACTTGGGCGAAGATCGGTGATAAAGTTATGGAACACAACGGGACATGGAACACAACACTTGTTTTTTTCAAAGACTCTTCTCTCATTTGGATTTGTGTTTGGGATTTGGAACATGACCTAGCAGTTGGATGACACCTTCTCTTGTTCACTGTTGGCAGGAGAAGATTTATATCGAACTTGCTGGTCAAGAACGTCCAGCTCTACTGCAAGGGCCTTTGGACTTCCTCCCCCAACTCGGAGTCTTGGAGGTCGAAGCACGGGAGGACTGGCTGGGGTGTCAGTTCTTTTGGGAGCATGATGTATCCTCCCAACCTCTAGCCCTGCCATGCCCTGCTCACCCATCCCTTGTGCCAAAGGTACGTGGAATGGAGAAGTTCCGAACGGTTGTCTGCTTCGGCATGCGGCCGAGCTGGTTTACCAGCGGGGACCCTATTTAGTTGACCCCGCTCCTATGTTTTTTACACTACCCTTTTTTGACCCCGAAACCCGATCACATCAGCCCCCTTCCTGCCACTGGCAACACTTTTCATTCTGACCCGGCAAACCATTATCGTCGCGAAGAATTCTCATTCCTGTTGCAGAGGCTGTTTCCAATGCTGTCAGCGCAGGAGTTTCGCAACTTCAACTTACCATTTTCGCATATTTTCGTTTTTTTTTGAAAGACAAGTTCAAGATGCAATAGCTAACGTCTTCTTTACACTGGAGGAGTTTGATCTGGCCTAGGTTCCTGACCGCCTCACATGTATGCCGACCACAGCATCTTAGAAGAGCATGAGGTGGCCCCCAGACATAAACAGAAGATGGCCTTGCAGAGCTCGAAAGTGTTAGGCCACCACGAAACCTGCGAATTCGGCGTGCTTGCGCCTTTCGGACTCGTACATCGCTGCTCCCTGGTCGGCGAGCATTTGTCCTATCCCACCAACAGAGCGCAGGATCGAAATGCAAATAGGCGACAAGAGGTGGCCTGGCAGGTGCTTTTTCTTTCCAAGCCCACCCTTGACCTGTGGTTATGAAAGGCGGCGGTGAGAGTTGGAAGAGAAGGAAAGCTTTAGAACATTTAGAACAAAAAATTCAAAGGGCTTGCTTGAAAGAAATTAATTCAAAAAGGCCAGAATACACCAAACACTTTTTATGGAGAGAAAAACGGTGATGAAACTTGGAAGGAAGGACGAGTTTGGAGAATGAACAAAGTCAATGGGGTCAACAAGGCAGGCTTTGAGAACAGACGTGGTCACAAAAAAAGTTTTTCAGAACAGACGCTTATGAAAAGCATATTTTCTTTCAAAGGGCAGAAACATTCTGGAAGCAGACGACCCCAAAAAGGAACATTTTGAGAACAGACGGGATCAAAAAGGAAGGTTTTGAGGACGCACGGAGTCCAAAAAAACGGGCTTTAAGAACAGACGAGGTCAACAATGAGTCTTGTGAACAGATGGAGTCAAACTGGAAAGTTTTGCGAACAGATGAGGTGAACATGGAAGGTGTTGAGAAGAGCCGGGGTCAAAAAGGATGGTTTTCAGAAGAGACGCAGTCGAATGGTCCAAAGGACGGTTGTCAAAAGAAGCAGTGGGTATTGAAGGTACACGGCTTAAAAAACAAGTACTTGATGGAACGAATGGGTGTCCGTTTGCCAGCCAGTTCCAAGGCGATGAGCTGGTTGATTTGCAAGTGGCTGGTCTTCACGAAGGCCTGGTGGGTTTGGTCTGCAGTACTTGGTGAATGTTAGCTGCTAGCTGCACAATGTTGTGCAATGTAGTTGTACTCGTCTAATGAAATAACTCCGCGGATGTTGTGGGAAGTGGAGGATGCATTAGCACGGCCGATTGGTTGAGGGCAGTTGAGGCGGACCCATAGAATCTGTAGAAGTCAGTGAACACAGGTTAGGGTTCTCAGCCCATTGTCCACCGGTTGGTTTTGGAATGCCTTGGGTAGAGTCCCATCCTTCTGTCCGCTCCTTCCAGCCGCATGCTGCTGCCGTGCTGTTGGGTGTCCCATCACAAGGGTTCTCTTTGCCACCCATTGCCGATTGCCATTCACATCAGGTGAGATCACCCTTTTGCTGGCAGCAGAAGAGGAGGAAGAGAAGGAGTTGGAGGACATTGCAGATGCCCAAGCAAAGGGCGGCAAAGGTGCCATCAAGGGTACCAAAGGCACCAAGGGCTATGGCCAGGATGCCGCTGGGCGATGGTCAGATCAAACGCGGCCGGGCGGTACGGGGGTTGCTGGAATCCAAATTGAACCAGCACGGCTGAAAACATGATTCCTGGCAAACTGGGCCACCGGTGGAGTCCAGGAAACTTGCGTCTCCATTCCGGCTTCCCCGTACTTGTAGGATGCTCTCAAGATCACAGGTCACACACCTTGGGACTTTCCGAGCCCTCGGAGGTCACTCTGAATCAGATAATGCTAGAGAACCGTATGTTAAATGCATGCAGTTTCGTGCTGGAAAGATTCATGTTAAAACTCTTTGGCTGGTTTACCCACCAATCCTGCTTCAAATTGTGACATCCATAGACTAGCTTTACATGTGTATTTGTGGTTATTATGTGTCCAACCTCCCGAACCCCCCGCCCATGGTGGAAGGTTCCATGGTGCGAAAGACGCGCTTTTTCTCCGCCAAGTCGGAGACTTATTGACATGGGCAACGTGTTTGCTTATTGGGCTTTGTGAACCATTTGATAATTCCTTTTGGTTCCTCAAGTTTCAAACATGGACCCCAGGAGTCGAGGCACTCGATGCGATGCATCCGTTCAATCCTTCGATGGCCGAGGAGCGCGTCGGCTTCATGTATACGAAGCAGCAGCTCTTGGAATGTCGTGCCGCTGTGCTCCGGGATGGGAAAACAGTGCAGCTGGCAAGTTTGAGCCAATGCCCGGAAGAGGCGAGGACTGGCTGCGACGACATTCATTGGGCTCGGTAACAGGATCACATATAGGTTTACTTGTCACGTTTTCCGTGGGAAGGTGCGGACCTTGTCACAGGAGAAGAATAAGACATGGCCTAGTACTTCATTGTCTTCGGAACGTTCAACGGTCTAATCTACTTAGGCCATCAGTGTCTTTAGGCTTTCCCCATGCGCCAAACTTCCAGCTGCACTCGCAGGAGCTGGAGACCACCTTGGTGCGAGCACTGTTGGCAGGTGATTTGCCCCCTGCCTGGTGGTCCAAGCGAACGATGCCGCTCAAGCGGCAAGCCTTACGCGTGGCGCTGCGTGTGGCGGCTTGGAGTGATCGTGCGGATGGATGGAATTGTTGATCTTCATTCATCTGATGGGCACAGTGGGGGTTCGACCCGAATGGAGTCCATGTTCATAGAAGTTTCATGAACTTTCGATGAAGAGTCGATTCTTAGATGGTTTCAGCATGTTTCAGCCACTGCTGGACTCCTACCTGCTAGCATGTTTCTGAATAGTCCCCACATCAGACCGACATCGGCATCAGTTGTTCCGGAGAACTCTTTCTGGTCTCACCCAGGCGAACATGCAGGCCGTTTATGCGATGCAACCTGAAAGCCTTCAGTTCCGGGAAGCACTGAGCTGTTATGAGTCTGAGAAGCACTGGCTGCAAGGCCTAGCGTTGGACACTCCCTTTCGGGGCGGCTGGTTGGCGTCACCCATCCGGGAGCGAAGCAATCTACGCTTAGCTGGGCGCATGGATCATATTTGTAGACGCTGGATTGATAAGCCCCCCATATGAAGAGAATTTCCCATTAGGCGTCTGGGCTCAAGGTCCTTCGCCTTAAGGAGCGGCTGGGTCCCTGGGGCTGAGCTGCCACTCTCGCGAGTGGGGTTCAGCGTCCACTAAGGTCTTGTGGCCAACCCTTCCTGCGTTTGTGCTGGTCACTTGATCTTGTGGTGATTTGCCATGGCATTGGATGCTTTGTTCCGCCTTGCTGCGGACTCACTTTCTGGTGAGAGACTGGTGCTCTACAGAGATTTCCTGGAAGGCCACCGGAGGTGCAGTACCATGCTCAGGCGTGGGTGCTCGGTGGTTCTTGCAGGAAAGGTCATTGAGATCCTTGATGAGTCCATGAAGCTTCAATGCCTGCGGTTCACTCCTTGGGAAGGCCTGAGCCCTTGTGATGAGTCCGAACTCATGACAGTTGTGGTGCCCCGCTTGCGTCAGCGCTCATTCAAGGCGGAGATTGGACATGAGATCACCCTGTTTGGGACAATCACAGACAAGAGTGAGGCTCCTGTTTGGGTATTCGATGATGATGTGCTGCTGGTGCATCGCACCCAGTTCGACAACTCCCTTCCTATTAATGCGCTACATTTGTTTTCCGGAGCATTTTGTGGCTGGTCGAGAGCTTTGTCATGGATTGGAAAGAATGTCCCGGAACTCAAGACAGGCACCCAGACATTTGTGGATGCTGATCCAGTTGTGATGTCTGCGTGGGCACATCAACATCGGCAGATCCACCATTCTGGCTTGACAAGAGCAGATGCTACATGGGATCCGTCCAACGAAATTGGCATATGTTCGTCTGTGGCTGATTGCACTGTGCTGAGGCATTGCCAATGGACAACAAATGCTATCTCCACGGCTTCCCCACCATGTGTAAGCTGGTCCCGAGGTGGGAAGTTGTTTGGCATGGACTGCCCACAAGGCTTCGCGGCTTTTGAGACGATTCTGCTGATTGAACTGCAACAACCGATGCTTGTGTTTTTTGAATGTGCGGATGAAACGGTCTCGCACCAGCATTTTCCGCTGCTACAGAATGCACTTAAGCTCATCGGGTATGTACAGATTTGGCAGCAAATCGTTCCTCTCCACCAGCTCACCCACAATGCAAGAACGAGGTGGCTCGCAGTCTGGAAAAGATTTGACATGTCTTGTCTCCCGTATGGGTCCACTCTTGTGCCACGCGCTCCGCCCCTTACTCCGTGGCATTCCAGTTTGAATCATTTCTGGATTCCTGATGATATTCGCCAACAATTGCAGTTAGGGGCTGATGCTATCACCTGCTATGGGGACCCTCAGCTTCTGCCACCAGCGAAGCGAGCAAGATTGTCCACCGGGTCACCTCATGAAGTGTTGCTCAAACGGGTGCCTGCCTACAATGAAGCCCTACCTACGCTTTGTTGTACTTACACCAAGCAGCACAATCTCGAGGCATGTCACCTTGCTGACAAGGGCATTTTCGCATCCATTGTGAAAGAAGGGGACGGTTTTGCTTTTCTCAATCCACTGTCCTTTGTGCCACTGTTCGGCGCTACCGACAAAGTTTCATTGCCGTGTGATGTTTCCCAAGCATTCCACCTTCTTGGAAACGCTATTGCGCAACCGCATGCTACTTTAGGCCTAGCAGTCGGTCTCATTGCCTTGTCGAAAGCCCAGGTCCAAGCACTCGATCTTGTCCAAAGGTCATGGCATGATCGCCTCACAGCTGACAATGCCATTGTCCATCGCTCAGGTGACTGGATTGAGGTCCACAGACGTGATGATTTCCTTCGCTCGATCGATTTCAGGTTTTACCTGCTCCCTGACCCAAGTGTTGTGTATGTTTGCCTTCGCACACAGCTTTTGCTGAAAGAGAGCCATCGTGACACAAGTGTTCCGTGCACTTCGACCCTCCTCCAGGCGCTAAAGCAGATCCTCACGATTGATGAGTGTGACCCTGCTGCCATCAGGTTCATTTCGGACACCGAGCAAGACCTTTCGGAACAGACTGTCGAAACAGCACTCCAGGTTACAGATACCATTCGTTGCCTGTGGCATAATGAACCTTTTGCTCTGTTCTGCCGAGGTGAGGGTCGCTTTGTTGAGACAGTTCCTCCCCCGGAGGAGTTGCCCCCAACCGTGCCCTTTTCGGTTGTCGAAGATGGTCCAGTGAATGTCATTGATTGCCAGCCGCTCTCTTTTGATGAGCTTCGTAGGCATGAATCGTTCCAGGAAGCCCTGACATGCTTTGAGCACCTGTTCAAAGTTCTGCAGGAGTCAACAGGACCCCAACAGATTGCTGCACTCGCATGGGAGCACCCGCCTCTTCTGTTTGCAGTCACGATCGACCAACAAGATCCGCTTGGTTGTGTCCAGACTCAACTTGACCTTCTCTTTCCCGGCAAGTTTTCGGTCTTTCTTGGCCCTGGTCGTCTCAAACAAATTGCTGATGGTCCCTTTCTTTTGGTTCGTAGCCGAAATCACAATGATGATGCCCTTGTTGCTTTGGTTGAGATTTCGCCTCGCACTGTGGTTCACCTCAAAGCTGTTCCCAAACAAATTTGCGGACAGTGCAAGATTGTCACACCGAAAGGGGACTTTATGCTGGTGACCCACAACTTTCGTGCCATCACTTCGCCCACCTTCTGCTTCACAGGTGACATCTTGGTGATCGACAGGCTGCAAGACCGCCCTGTCTTTGCAGGGGGCCATCACAACTCAGAACGGCCGGTCGCCCAACTTCCAGCCGGTGCCACTTTCCCACAGAGAGTTGCTTTCGCTGTTGAGACTCATGGCTGGGCTGCCTCAGATGAGCTTGAGAATGCCTTCAAGATTTTGAGAACTTTGGAGCCAAACTTTATCCAAGCCTGTGGTTTCATGCGGTGGGACCCCGCGCTCAGTGAGTTTGATGAGGGTGCATTTGAGGAAGTTCATTTTGCCCCTCTGGGCTGCACATGCCTCCTCGTGCTTGTGGGCTGTCATTGGGCTCTCATCCAGGTGACGCGAACGACCCATGAAACCAGGATCCGTGTGGCCGGCCTTCCGCAACAATGTGCTCAGCGTGCAGCTGTCATCACATGTAGAATGTTAGACATTGCTCCGCACAGGGCCGCCTTGGACTTTGACTTCCTTCGGCCACCAGAGCATATGTGCGGCTGGACCATCATGTTCCAGCTCTACACCAAAGCCGAGATTCTGGATCACCTTCCTGACGCCAGCTACTTTTGGGGCATCCTAACCATTGAGGAACGCAGACAAGTCAATGATATGCTCATTGCCTCACAACAGCACTGGACCCAAGCCCGAGCCGATCCGGTCCTGCGTGGTTTTGCCTTCCAGTTGAGGCTCGACTTCTTTTGCCAGCTTGCCCTACGAGGACGTGACAATGATCCGGTCACCACAATCCCCCTTGACCCAGCCTTCCCAAGAGGCAATCCAGATACCGGCGCCACATCATCCAGTCTTCCGGGACGCCCCCTGAGTGTGAGGCTGCCCCTCACCGATGCCACAGCCCAAACAGAACAAGGCAACATCATTCTTCAGAGACTCCAAGCTACCAGCCCCAACCCGGGGTGGCTTTTCTCTGATGCCCTCGATTACCACTGTGAACTCCTGCGGTTGCACATTCCAGCTGCCCAATTTGCACCACCAGCTCGATGGCACCCAGAGACCAGTGAGCTCAGCTTCTTGAATGACTTGACCTGTCGCGCGGCATCCTTTGAGCGCACTATTGTCCCTATCCTTTGGGAACAGCGCTGGATCACGCGCGAGCTCTATCGTGATGGGTGGGATTTCAACTTCATTGTGAGAGGTCCTGATGCTCTTCAACCTCTATGCAACCAGCTTGCCACGGATGTTGCTGCAAAGGTGATGCATGATGGCACAGTCCTGCATGTCACGTTCATCCGCACGAATCCACCACCTCACCTGTGTGGTTGGACGATGCTCTTTGATCTGTACCGGAGGTTCGGAACCTTGATGCCTATGCCCAGTTCACGTTTGCTCAATGACCTTCGCATTAGTGACTATGCTCCATGGCATGTTTGGGTGCATGAACAAGCAGTGCGCCAATGGGGTGCTGACATTGATCCTACGCTGCGTACCTTTGCTTCCTCAGGCCTCTTGTTGCACCTTGGTCGCATTGATCAAGCAAGAATTCCACAGCAGTACCAAGCAGCTGGAGCCGTCAGCAGCTCGACACCGACAGATCCTGCAGTTGATCCCCTCACGGTGCATGACCCTTGGGCCAAGAAGGCACCTCCTTCCCGCTGGGAGGATCTCCGTCTTGGAACAACTCATCCCTTCCACAATGAGAAGGGTGAACAATTGGATCAGCTTCACCGTTTGCAGGCGACGGGGCATAATGGTGGCATTGTCTTGACAACAAAACAACACTTGTCTGAGCTGATCAAGTTAGGAACGAAGCATCCTTTCGTCGCCCTCCTGCCTCAGCTGGACGATTCCTCGAAAGCAGCTCTTGGTGTTGCAGCTCACGGCCCATTTGAGGTGATCTTGTATGATAAAGCTGCTGGACAAACTTATAAGAGGATCACGCATGCGGTGGCTATCTTCGGCAAATTCAACTTCACCTTGAAAGACCCCGCAGCGGAATTTCACACCTCTGAAATTGCAGAGCTTGTGCTTGAGTTTGACAGCCGCTTGACACAGAAGGCTGAGTTTGACCATGCTGCGGCAAACCCAGTGCTCTTCTTTCGAAACTTCATTGCCAAGCACATGCCTTCGCTCAAAGAACAGATCACTGTGTACGGGTTCAGACACAATCGACACCCATCAGCGACCAAAGAGGATGATCAGCTGCAAATTGTTCTGAAGGTACCCAAGTCAGCTCGACCCGAACTCTTACAATTGTCTGGAGCTGA